TATCCTTACTATTATAAATGGGAAAGTGAGTTTGTTTGTTTGTTTGTTTGTTCCGACTTCACGCCGTAACTACTAAACCGATTGCATTGAATTTTTGCAGACGTAAAGTTAGTAGTCTGGATTAAATAATAGGGTACTTTTTATCCCGAAAAAATTTGATATTCCCGAGGGAAAACAAAAGTATTGGTATAGATGGCGCTGTATGTATTGGTATATGTCACATAGACTACTTTTTATCCTTTTGTGACGCGAGCGAAGCCGCGGGTAAAAGCTAGTGTAAAAATAAACTAAAGAAAATATATTTTTAAAATAACTACTTACTCTATAACCTCCTGTTTATGTTCGTCAGCGAGTGGTTCAGCAGAGAACAGCTCCTTGTCGTCGTCGTCCTGCTGCGGACTGGTGGCCAGGTGGGACAGTACCTCGCCCAGGTTCGACGCACCGAGGAAGTCGCTGATATCTAAAGGAGAAATGAAGACTTAAAATAAAATACCTTGTCGAGACAATAATCTCAGGATCAAATACCTACTGATAGATTTTTACTTTCAATGAGTATATGCGACAATCCTACAGAAGTAAACACTATTTTGTTCAAGATCGAGTTCACAATCAGCTACGAGAAATGAGTTAAGAACAAATATTCTAGGAGAATTCTATTATATCATCTTCTGGTGGAGTATGTCAGAAATGAATCTGAAACTGAGCAAGTTAATTTGTGAACTTAACATTACGTTAGGTACATTTAATGTAATCTTGGGTCAACCAATGTCACCTGAAGCTATATCGGCGTATTCATTAGTTACCTTGTAATAGGCGTGTCGACAGGGTAAAAAAATCAAAAAAGTAATTAGTCCGTCATTAAGATCGCTCGAAAATATCAGACACGTATTTTTTGTTTTATCAAATTAACAGAAGAATACGTAGTTATTCCGCATTAACCCTTAACAACCCACAAGTGTCTTGCGGACACATTTTTGGGTTTATGTTTTCATAAAAACTAAAGTATTTATTTTTATGAATCGGCCTTTTATCTAATTTATCACTAATGTTTTACGAATCTAATTGTGCCATTAAAACATTTGTATAATGAATAATTTATTATTTTTGGTCAATAAACAAAAATAGTACTTCATCAACCCAGAAGTGTCCAACAGACACAATATCATTTTATTTGATTTAAGTGTGAAGGTATATTGTTTTTTATTTACATTTACTTATAATCTTATGGTGTCGGATAGGCAATAGCGGCTGCCGGACCTTTGTTTGTGTTATAATCGTAATCTTCAGTAATCAGTAATCAGAAACTGTTGTCAAAATATAGTCATGTTCTAATTCGTTTTTATTAAAATATAATGGCTAAACGGCAACTAAAACAAAGTGAAATTCAACACGCCTTTGTTGAAAGTGACGATGAAAACATTTATGTGGGTGCGTGCGATAGTGCTGATGAGAATTTTGCTGTTGACAGCTGTTCTGATAGTGAAAATAATGTGACAGAATCAGCATCTGAGAACGACGATGAACAATTATGTAGTAAGAGTGATGATGTACCATTACAAGAATACGTCTCAATTTACACTTATAAAAGGAAGAGGTGGAACAACTTGGAAATCAGAACCTGACAGGCAAAGCCGAACGCCTCGACGCAACAAAATTTGCGATGGTATTCATGAGGTGATTCTTGCTCCGGAGCAAGCTATAATAGATCCGATAGATAATTTCAGCCTTTTTTTCAACGATCACGTATTATAAGTACTAGTAAAATAAAAAAAAAATTACCAATACTGAAGGGTAATTGTTTTACAAAATCGATGATAATCAACAGACAATATCGAAATGCAAGCATTCCGAGGACTTTTATTGACTATAGGCGTCAATAAACAGGCAGGTGCGTATTTTACAGAATACTGGGACCCTATCTTTGGCAATCCAATATATATAATTATAAAGCTACAGTGGAAAAAGAAAGAAGCGTTGTAATATTTTCCCTTCGAAATTATCAAGGCCTTCTAAACAGTAATGTGCTAAATGCAACCGCAATGTCTGTTCTGAATATTCTGAAAAGAACAATTACTTGTAATATTTGTAAGTAAATAAGTGTAAATAAACATTACAACGTATTTTTCATTCAAAATATTTTTAATTTCTTTCATCATACCTTACATTTATAAAATGAGTCTGTTGGACACTACTGGTCAGTTACGTCACAAAAGCATTCTGGATAGTTAAGGGTTAAAGTTAGGGAGTGGGGGGTGTTGACGTCACACTTACGGAGAAATCGTACCTAAGTGTGACGTCACGCGTCATTTTAACTCAAAATATCTACATGTTTTTTTGGATACGAGAAAAAAGAAAAAATACGTATCGAAGATTTTTAAAATATCTAAAAGACGGACAAAAAATTAAAAAATAGTCGCCATGCCTATTGTGTATTTGTTAGATGAGGTTTCGATGGAACTGGTGTAACACTTTGTTAAAAGTTCCTTAAATAAATAAATTAAAAAAAAGAATTCTATCATTCAGAAAGTACAGGAAAAAAATATTACCCAAACATCAAAACACCTGGAACTTCAAAACGGACCTTAATATCAATCAGAAGTTCAAAGAATATAAAAAATTCGCATCCACTTTAGCATTTAATAACTCACCAATATAATATCCCTTGTCTCTCAACCTGGTGATGGTATAAATAGAGTTGAGTGAGTTTCCTCCCAGCTCGTAGAAGCCGGCCCGGACGCCGATGGCTCCGCGGACAGCCCGGCCCAGCACCTCGCCCACCGTCTCGAACAGAACCTTAGCAGCTTGCATGTCCGATGGAGAAACAGACGAGTAGTCCAGTTCTAGGGGTATTTCTGAATCATCTGGTGAAGGGAAATTCATATTAGATTGTGTATTGAAGCCATATGATAACGGCAAAGTAGAATCAGAGACTGGGCAGGAGCGTTTGCTGACAAACTTAAGTTTAATGATTGTTTATTCACTCATAAAGAACATGGTTCACTTACAATGAGCTTAAATGACTACTTATAGCTATGTATACAGAGTTATGACCAAACGGTATTAATAAATATTTTCAGTCTTTCAGATACATATTTTCTTAACCTATTTTTGAACATGGCAATCGACTGACATTCCTTAATATTATTTGGCAAATTATTATACAATTGTGCTCCCCATATGTTATACATTTTTTACCGTAATTTGTTTTGTGCCTTTGTAGTTTAATTTTGTTTGCATTTCTCAAGGAATGATAAAATGATCTCATAGTAAACTTGATCTCAGATTGTATTTGACCCGTTAGTATTTTTCTCACCAGCAAGCACATATTGTAAGTGTAGGTCTGTTGCAAGTTAAATATTTTTGTTTCAGTATATAATTGACGTGTATTAGTAAGATAGTCATAGTTAAATAGAGATTTAATGGCTTTGTTTTGTGAAACTTGAAGACCATGCAAATTAGACTTAGCAGCACATCCCCATATTTCTATAAGATACTCTAAGTGAGACCTTACGAGAGAATTATATATGGTCATGCGTACTTTTTGTGGAATACAACCTGATGCTCTTCTAAGAATCCCAGTCAGTGATGATAATTTCGATTTGACATAGGCAATGTGGTTCCTCCAAGTTACTTTATCATCAAGTCGCAAACCTAAATATTTTTCGTGATGGGAGCGATGGATAACAACATTATCTATAGTTAACAAGGGGTATTGAGGGATCCTTTTATTTTTAGCTGAAAATAGCATGTATGATGTTTTACTGGTATTCACTGTTAGTAAGTTACTTTGGCACCATATACTAAATTTATGTAAATCACTCTGTGCTTCATTAACAATGTGAGTTAGACTTCGACCGTAATAAAAAAGACACGTGTCATCTGCGTACAGTGTAACATGTCCGGCTAGACCAATTTTACTTATGTTATTCACATAAATTAAGAATAACAACGGACCCAGGACCGAGCCCTGGGGAACACCGCAAACTATCTTTTGACTGTCGCTTTTATATTTTTCCATCTTAACAATCTGATGCCGATTTGTCAAGTAAGATTTAAATAATTCGAGAGCTTTATCTGTTATGCCTAGGTCCAGTAATTTATTAATCAGTATATCATGACTGACGGTATCAAAAGCTTTTTTAAAATCTACAAATATGCCCAAAACAAATTTCCCATCATCAATATTATTTTTACTCCTTGTTAACTGCCATTTTAAGCTTGCTTGCCCATCACAACCCCTTAGAGTCACTCAAGGAGGAGGAGGAGGAGGATCAAATCAAGGAGGAGCCAGGAACTATTTATAATGATAAAATTAAGTGTGTTACATTTCAAGGTATCAAAATTAAAAAACTAATAAGTCCGTCAGTTAGATAATGAAAACATATTAGACACATACTTTTTTTAAACTCGTAAAGTTGCAATACTTAAATAAAATGGCGCTAAGTTTAGGAGTGGGAGGTCGTTACGTCATAACGTGCTACAAAATGTGGCACGCCGTGACGTCAAACGATATTTCAAATTAGTATATCGTCGAAAGTATTTAATTTTGTGAGAAAAGAAAACATACGTGTCTAAAGTTTTAAATTAATGTACCAGATGGATATTAAAATAAAATTTAGAAAATTACCCTATTACGAGAAGCTTACCACTAACCATTATTATTGGTGTTTTCATACATCTTGAGTAGTGCCTGTCGGTCCACTTTTCCGTTCACCAGCAACGGTATGCTCTCTACTTCAATCACCTGCAAACATTTGTTTATTAGTGTCTCATACAACATCTGCATTTCGTTTTTATGATAGATAAACTATCCAGGTTTCATTAAAAACTTTACTAAACTACACAATGTTATTTTAAACTTAATAAAAATTGTTTAATTTTACCAACTTAGGGAAAGTAGTACCTGAGGAATCATGTAATGTGTGAGGCTGTTCTTGAGGGCAGCCTCAATATGCTGAGCAGCGATCCTGGCTTCAGGCTTGATGGCGACGAAGGCCAGGATCTCAGGGTTACCACGATCTAGACCGTAGCATAGCACTACACCTGAAAGTTGAAAAATAAAATGTTAGCTGGATACCTATACATCCCAGTCTCCATTTTTTTCAGCAACCTTCATTTTTACCGACTTCAAAAAAGGAGGAGGTACTATGTTCGGCTGATTGTTTTTTTTTTTTTTTTTTTTCGCGCAGTACTCCGCCATTTGTGAACCGATTTCCAAAATTCTTGTTTTGTTTGAAAGGGTATACTCCCGAGATAGTCCCATTTCCATGAGGTCAGGATCTGATGATGGGATCCTATCCCTAGGATCCCATCATCAGATCCTGACCTCAACCGAGGGGAACTTTCGAAAATTCTATGGCCGAGGCGTCTATTATATTTTTCAATTACGATTTTTAAACACTACAATTTGACAAGGGTCTGGAGTCGACCTGATGGTGGAGCCGACAGACAGTCGAGGGAACTCCTCAGCGGTTTATATTAACTACCTTGTGGTGGGCTCGATTAATTTGTATTGATGAAGACTTTACACTAAGATAGAGGTGGTTTGATGATGAAGAAGTGTAATTGTTAACTCCTAAACGTTATACTGTAACTTAAACTACCTTGTGTTTGGGCTTGTATAATTTGTATTGATTAGAACTTTGCACCTATGTAGATTATAAGTAACAAAACGGGTATATTTGATACGGCGGTGACGGAGGCGGTGGCCCATAGTCCTTTACTTACATTTCTCAACGCCGTCGACTCCAGCGACAGCTCGGTCCACCTCGTGCAGGTCGACCCTGTGTCCTCTGATCTTGATCTGTGAGTCAGTGCGACCAGCGTACAGGATCACTCCCTTCTGAAGCACGCCGAAATCACCAGTACGATACAGACGAGCGAAGTCTGGAAGAAAATTTTAGTCAGGATTCAGGACATTATGGTAAGAGATAGTTATATTTTTTTTTATATTTGATGGGCCAACGTTTGACCTCTATCTCGCCTGATGGTAAGCGATCAATGATGGAGCACGTCGTCCCATAAGCAACCTATTCACTCGGGCCTTGAAGAAACCCAGGTTATACCCTCCTGACGTCGTATTGTCGTTACATCGTCCTCTCATCTATCTATCTATATATATAAAATTCAAAGGTGATTGACTGACTGACTGATTGACTAACTGACATAGTGATCTATCAACGCACAGCCCAAACCGCTGGACAGATTGGGCTAAAATTTGGCATACAGATAGATGTTATGACGTAGGCATTCGCTAAGAAAGGATTTTGATAATTTCCACCCCCAAGGGGGTAAAAAAGGGGATGAAAGTTTGTATGAGACTTTGTCAGTTTTAAACCGATCGGGTTGTAATTTGGCATGCAGATAGATGTTATGACGTAAGCATCCGATGTGAAAGGATTTTGATAATTTCCACCCCCAATGGGGGTAAAATAGGGGATGAAAGTTTGTATGAGACTTTGTCAGTTTTAAACCGATCGGGTTGAAATTTGGCATGCAGATAGATGTTATGACGTAAGCATCCGCTGTGAAAGGATTTTGATAATTTCCACCCCCAAGGGGGTAAAAAAGGGGATGAAAGTTTGTATGAGACTTTGTCAGTTTTAAACCGATCGGGTTGTAATTTGGCATGCAGATAGATGTTATGACGTAAGCATCCGATGTGAAAGGATTTTGATAATTTCCACCCCCAATGGGGGTAAAATAGGGGATGAAAGTTTGTATGAGACTTTGTCAGTTTTAAACCGATCGGGTTGTAATTTGGCATGCAGATAGATGTTATGACGTAAGCATCCGATATGAAAGGATTTTGATAATTTCCACCCCCAAGTGGGTAAAATAGGGGATGAAAGTTTATATGAGCCTTTGTCAGTTTTAAACCGATCGGGTTGTAATTTGGCATGCAGATAGATGTTACGACGTAGGCGTCCGCTATGAAAGGATTTTGATAATTTCCACCCCCAAGTGGGTAAAATAGGGGATGAAAGTTTATATGAGCCTTTGTCAGTTTTAAACCGATCGGGTTGTAATTTGGCATGCAGATAGATGTTACGACGTAGGCGTCCGCTGTGAAAGGATTTTGATAATTTCCACCCCCAAGTGGGTAAAATAGGGGATGAAAGTTTATATGAGCCTTTGTCAGTTTTAAACCGATCAGGTTGAAATTTGGCATGCAGATAGATGTTATGACGTAAGCATCCGCTTTGAAAGGATTTTGATAATTTCCACCAAGGGGGTAAAATAGGGGATGAACGTTTGTGTGAGGCTTTGTCAGTTTTACACCGATCGGGTTGAAATTCGGCGTGCAGATGGATATTATGACGTAAACGTCCCTTTAGAAAGGTTTTTGAACATTCTCACCCCAAAGTATGATACTTTGCCAGTTTTAAATTGATCGGGCTGAGACTTTGCATGCATAAAGTTACTATGACATAGGTATCTCTTTAGAAAGGATTTTGATAAATTCCACCCCTAAGGGGATAAAATAGGGAATGAGAGTTTGTATAAATCTTCTTAGCCGTTGAATTTAGAATCATTGAATCTTTTTGAATTACATTCGGTAAAACGATGATTTGGGACCTGGGTAACGTATGATAGTTTTTTCACAGATGTCTCACGAGAACGGGAACTATGCGTCAATGCCCCAGGACTCTCTAACTCTTAACCACTGAACTTATTCTAGAGAGATTCGGTACAACAATAGTCGATAGAATAGTTTTTATTACTCAAACCTTACGTGATCGGGCACTGTACTGGTAAGATCCCTGCGGGATTATTTATTTATTGAAACTACGATAAATCATTTCAAAATAGGTAAATCTTACTTGGGCACTGAATTGATTCTGGTTAATTCTGTCAGAAGTCATTAATCTACGCGGACGAAGTCGCGGGCAACAGCTATCTACACATATAATAAATCGTAGAAAAGTCAAAACTGTACATTGAATATTTTTTAAAAGAATATTTGAAGCGTGATCTCTAATCGATACCGAAGCCAATAATGTGGTTTTTAGAATTTTTGTCTGTTTGTCTGTATGTATGGCCGTGATGATCTCAAAAAGTACTGCACTACTATTTCAAATTTTGCATGAATATTACTAACAAGTCTGGTAAACATATAGGCTACATATTATCACGCTATCATCTACGGGACTGAATCAATTCTGACGACATCCATTACCGTAGAATATCCCTTGATAAAAACTAATTCAAAAGCCTAAATTCTGCCAGAAGTCATTATTCTACGCGGACGAAGTCGCGGGCAACAGCTAGTATTACATACAATTGGTAAAGGATCAGATAATGTATCAATGAGACTATAAAAAACATTTTTTTTAAATAGTAACGATGGTCGTTCTTGTCCATTCAAAACTACACTTTGAAACGAGCGCCTAGCTTCACTGACGGACAGACGGACGGATAATTCAAATTTGACGTTTCAAAAAGACCTTACTAACGACTAGATAAAATAAATGCTTTAACTTTGACTTCCACTATTAGTAAAATACACATACCTGGATGAGCAGCATGAGGGTTATCAATGAACTTGTCAGCTCCCTGTCCTCCGACGTAGCCCTCCGCCAGGTTCCGTCCAGCCACCCAGACCTCGCCAGGCTCCGACTCATGAGCCGGGTTCATCTCCTCATCCAGAAGGTACACGGCACAATTGTTCAGTGGAGTTCCTGGTGGAAAATAGATACACTGTTTTTGTGATCGACGTTTGTAGATGAAATGCCTTAAACAATTTTCTTTTGTCAGTCACAATCTTAATATTTTGTACCTATCCTTGTTATAAGCTCATATTATCGAATTTTATACTTTTTGTACTCAGTAATTTAAACTCTACGCTCTAAGAGATAAAGTTCCTTTGAATTAACACAACATAACATAATATAACACCTTTTTATCCCCGAAGGGATAGGCAGAGGTGCACATTACGACACTTAATGCCACTGCAACACCCAATTTCTCTATTTTTGTTATGCGTCCCATGTAATAGGGGGTGAGCCTATTGCCATATACCGGGTACAATTCCAGACTCCCTACTACTATTAAGATTTTTTTTAAAACTCATTTACAATTTGTCCGGCCCGGGAATCGAACCCAAAACCCCTTGCCCAGCAGTCGCATTTACGACCACTCGGCGAACGAGACAATCTTTTAAATTAATAAAAAAAACACATTAGTTATAGGAATTCCATTCATTTCCATCTCATATTGAACAGATGCGACTCCAGTAGCACCCCAAATCATCATTATCATTAATAAAAATCATCTGGTTCTTCACTTACCAATAGGAATAGTAGAATGGATATCAAGCTGACGAGCATTCTCCAACACATAGTAAGTAACATCTCCCATCACTTCAGTACTGCCGTAGAAGTTCGCCAGTTTATACCCATTATGGTCACCGAAGTTCTTGAAGAATTGTGCAGCCAGGTCCTTGCTCAGGGTCTCTCCAGAGCATACCCAGAGTTTGAGGTGTTGGAGAGGTCTCTCGGAAGGTTTCAAGGAAAGATACATGAGGATAGATCGAAGAAGAGTTGGTACCAGCACTAGACGTTGGATCTGAAATTGAAATGGTATTATTGGAGGAGTTACAGGACTTGTTTTACAATTGAATAAATCAATGATTTAATCGACGTGTAATTGAAAATTAATACTTTAATAATTCAAAAAATAAGAAAAAATCAAAGGAGTCTGGAATTGTGCCCGATATATGGCAATAGACTCACCCCCTATTACATGGGACTGATAACATAAATAGTGAAATGTGGGTGTTACATTGTGCAGTGACATTAAGTCCTGTAATGTGCACCTCTGCCTACCCCTTCGGGGATAAAAGGCGTGATGTTATGTTATGTTACTTCAATAATTTTAGTTTTTCCATCCTTAACTGGTATATGGCAATACACTCGGTAATTTAGAAATTAGCATTTTGAGTTAGGTAACAACTAACCTGGTTATCAGCTAAAACGTTGACCAGTTTCTGAGGATCCCTAGTGGTCTCTCGGGACAGGATGACCAAGGTCCTGCCGTGCAGTAGAGGTCCCCAGATCTCACAGACAGAGTCCACGAAGGTCAGAGCAGTCTTCCAGACGCAATGTACTTCAGAGTCAGTGTACGGGAAGGTTTGGAACTGCCACCAGAGACGGTTACAAACTGCTGAGTAGGAGAGACGAACACCTGGAGAAAATGGGAGGAAAATTAAACTTTAGGAACTTTGATTTCGATCACTATTTTGATTGGTTGTCTTTAGGTCTGTTCTTTGGTATTTTGTACAACGAAATTATCAACACACGGTTTAAAAGTAATAATAAATTTAATTACCTTTCGGTATACCAGTACTGCCAGAAGTATACAGTACGATGGCGATGCTCTCACTCCTCGCTGGAGCCAGTACCTCCACATCTTGGACAGCCTCAGCTGATAGTCCACTAGCTTTATGTGACAACTCCTCGAATGACACTGTTGGGATGCCACTTTCAGAAAACATGGCTGGATTGGCTGGAATGAAAAGGATACGGTCTTTAGAATTAAAAGATGGCTTTTTGGTTGAAATTGGTTGGTTAGAAGGAAGAAAGGTGTCTTTATGTTTTCAACTTACTCACGTAATTATTTGACGAGGAACTCGACTAGTAGCAGCGCGACAGTCGCCGGGTCGCGGGTCGCGAAATGCTGCTCATGAATATGAGCCTCTAGCATGGCTTGAAACTAGTCGAGTTCCTCGTCAAATAATTACATGAGTAAGCCGAAAACATAATAAATTATTTAGTTTGTCTCACGAAAGTTATAATATAGACTACTACTTTTTACGAGTCTTTGATCCAACTGAAACTTTCTTGTGTAGCTTTGTTGTGAAGACTTTATTATGATAAGACATCAATATCAGCAGCCTGTTCTCGTCCACTGCTGGACATAGGCATCTCCAATAGCACGCCATTGAGCTCAATCTGTACTATGACTCCTCTGGTGTTGCGGGTGTCCATTAGTGGCGCTGATCGCTTACCATCAGGTGATCTGTCTGCTCGTTTGCCTCCTATTCCATAAGAAATAAATGTTCAGCTCTCTATCCAATCTCCACCAGCCACTTTGCGTCCTCGCTAGCATCGTCTTCTAATGTCATTTTTTTTAAGGGGGAAAATCATCGAATGACTGCTCCCGCCTGGGTGAGCCAGGAGGGAGTTTCAGTCTCTTACTGACTAAAAACCACCCCGTTCCTTCTCCTGCACGTCGAGCCGGAGCCCCGGTTACACGTTAGGTTCTCCGCGGCGTCTTCTAATGTCTGGGTTGCATTTACAAACCATGACAGACATTAAACCCAGACCCCCAAAAGCAGAAGTAACAACGGGGTGGTTTTTAGTCAGTAAGAGTCTGACACTCCCTCTCGCCTAACCCAAGCCTCGAAAAGTCATTGGATGATTTTCGCCCCTCAAAAAAAAAAATCCCCAAGATTTTCGTGTAATCAAATCAGTTGGAATTAGGTGCTCACCTGTCTCATCATAAATAACAAGGGCTGGTTCAGCATCTTTCAAGATATGTGAGATCCTAGCTTGAGGGAAGCTCGGCTCCATCGGCACGTATGCAGCGCCAGCCTTCCAAGTCGCCAGCAAGGTGGTGATGGTACTGAAAGAACACAAAAAGATAAAATTATAATTGTTCTTATTGTCACTTGTCTTTTCTGTTTTTTTTTTGCATAATTTATTTCTGTTATTACCGTATCGTACATTATTTTATTATCTCTCTCTTTTTAGTTTATTTTTCATATTTTGTTTTTGTGTATGTACCTATCTGTATTTTTCATTTTCATAATCTTTGTTCGGTGTGCTAATTGCAATTTTATTTCTCTCTTTCTTACTTGACTGTTCTATGTGTAATTAGGATTCGCTTTTGAACCAACTTCAATAAAATAGAAGATTGTCCAATCACCGATTTTTTTATGATCTAGTCCATGAAACTCCGCTGCTAAATTATGGGCCTTCTCTTCAAAAGAGGAGCCATATTCTCAACGCTTGATAGGGGGGTTGGAGATCGTAGTATAAAAACATTGCTGGATTAGGTGTATCAGAGGGCTTAATAGAAACGAGACCGCGTTCGTATCTCTGATTGGTTGTTTCATTGGAGCCGGCCAATCAGAGGACTTAGAACGAGATTGTTTGACGTTTAAAGTAAGCCTCAAAGAGTGCTACTGCCCAGTATCTATTAAATATGCAATCCCTTAGTCGGTTCTTAGATCTCACGACACCCATGTGAAGAGCGAGCTTAGGATTAATAAAGAATACTAACTTGTGTGTAGGCTGCATACACACAGCGATGACGTAATCTCCATCTCTGTTAGCTCCCTTAGGTGCAGCGCGTGATGTTATGGCTCTGGCAAGGGCGTTAGTGCGAGCTTCCAATTCTGCATAACTCACTCGAACACTGCAAGTCTCATCTGAAAACAAAGATAAAGAAAAATAAGTATTTTGATCAGTTTTAGCGATCACATACAAAGACAAATTCGATGGCGTGACCAATAGATGGCGTGATGAGACGAGACGGTTATTCATATAGGTTGTAAGCCAACTTCGATCGAATAAACATAAAATCGACCAAGATTATCAAAAAATCACAGAAATATAATAAATATTATTATATCTATGATAAAAAAAATAACGTATATTCCGGGTCGAAAAATTACACGATTCCTCAGGTGCGAACATCTCTGTAATAATGCATTAGAAACGTTATTGTATTAGAAACGGATCACCTGGTGGTAAGCAATCGGTGCCGCCGTTGTGCACCTGAAATACTAGAGGCGTTACAGATGCATTACCAGCCTTTTGAAGGATTTGAGGATTGCTGGGGATTCGGGGCCTAGGGCCTCACACACACGACGAAACACAACGCAAGCATTGTTTCACGTCGGTTTTCTGTGAGGCCGTGGTATCATTCCTGTCGACCCGGTCCATTTGTGATGAAGCATGGCTATCCCACACTTACATTGATTAATGGAAGTTTTAGTCCTATGCATTAAGTATCGCGGGATGATCTCCGGCCACCGTAAGCGCGGGCCTATGGACGGTGAGCATGGGTGGCTGGGGTCCGACCAGAAACAGACCCGAGCGTACACCGCGTCGCGTTCCGCGCGCGCCTCAAAGAGCCAGACCACCACAGATGGAGCCCAACAGGGCCGATGCCGATTCGGAGTCGCGGAAAACGTAACGGGTTCCGAGAAGGAACGGGGTGGTTTTTAGTCAGTAAGAGTCTGACACTCCCTCTCGCCTCACCCAGGCGGGGGCAGTCATTCGATGATTTTCCCCCCTTAAAAAAATGCATTACGTATTCGTTTTATAGGTTAAAGACATACCCCATGTTATTCTTGTTCGGTTATTACACGATACTCAGAATTGAGACATTAATAAACCCAGTAATGCAGTCAATTGTTACTGAGATATTGTTAAATGGTGTCCTAATAAGGTGTTCTAAAGTATTTTAATTACAAACCACGTAATTACATTGTCAATATCACCTACTTTTAGTAAAAAAATGTCGTTACCATAATGGCAGAGTTATGACGCGGATAAACTTATTAAAACCTTATTGAAATTCTTATGCAGCTCTGAGAAATGTTGAATTACTTATAAACATTTTGTAGGTACCTGCTTAGTTATAGCAGTAATTATTAAAAACTTGAGAAATCAAGCTCTATTGGGTAGGTGTTCGTCGTGGTTCGTGTTCCGAACCTACCAACAGCAAGTACCAATGTGACTTATTCCAAGTTATATGTACTTTCTAAGATTATCTAGACACCATTGACAAACGGTGAAGGAAAACATCGTGAACCAACTTGCGTAATAATATATTCTAATTCAATAGTTTTGATTAAATCGCCCACCTGTATTGAACAAGTGTGGTGATTAATGATCAAACCTTCAACCTGGTTTTAAGTTTCCTTAAATATTTACTTATCTCAATAGAAAAGTGAAAGTGAATTACGATTTAGCGGAATTAAAGCAACTTAAAGTTCAACATAAGTACATAATATAAAATCACGCCTTTTATCCCCGCACGGGTAGGCGTTTTTTACTATTTACGTGATGAGTCCCATGTAATAGGGGGTGAGCTTATTGTTATATACCGGACATCACTCCAGACTCCGTGCTATTACTGAGAGTTTTTAAAAAACTCAATAATATTTTGCCTGACCTGGGAATTGAACCCGAAACCCCTTGCCCAACAGTCGCACTTGCGATTGAACTCGTAAATCAAACTCCATATCATTAAAGTCAGCTTCATTATAATAAATTATCTTATTAAGTACCTATGTATTATTATTTATTATTGTCTGTTCAGAATGTATTTAATAATACTTTTATTATTTTATTTACACTCGATATAAGTGTTACGAGGTCGCATATCTTTGTTGCAACGAAATTGTTGCAATTGTATCTTGTTTTTTTTTTATGTATCATTGACTATTATAGTTTTAAAACGGAAATGCAATTTAGTAGAAAAACCCGAAGGAGTATGCATACTCTGCACCTCTGAGGCCTTAGTACGGTACTCTGAGGCCTTAGTCGAAACGAGACCGCATTCGGCGCTCTGATTGGCCAGCTCCAATGAACCAACCAATGAGAGCGCCGAACGCGGTCTCGTTTTGATTACTTTTAACGTAATACTAACTCGGCCTCTGGGCGCATGCACTTGCAGATAATTTAAGTGTGAGAGAGCCATGCTTCGGTACTACTGGGCCGGCTCGACCGGGGTGATACCACGGCCTCACAGAAAACCGAAATGAAACAACGCTTGCGTTGTATTTCGTCGTGTGGGTGAGTTACCGGAGGCCCAATTCCTAGTGTGGGGCAATGTTTAAAAAAAACAAAATAAAAAACTATTGCCATTACGAGGGAGCAGACTTCGCAGTATCTACAAACTGAGAAGGTCCCAATAATATTTTGCCTAGCTAAGGAACCAGGCATCGAGATAGTTTTGTAATTAGTGACTAGATGTCAAGTGATATTCTATGAGTTATTTTTTTAATTTACGATCGAGTATGGAATGTACAGACATTCCTCATTGTTAACATAATAAGAACAGAGTATCTAATATAATAATTAACGAAGTAGGGCACGAAGATTGCTTGATCATACCAATCAGAGGTTCCCACATAAAATTAACATCAAGTATTGTGCAATCGTTTGCGGTATGCTCTTAATTGGTCCATTCAGTGCTTCTCACTCAAGTGATGACGTCGACGATATCATTAGACTTGTAGAATTTGTATTATTCATAAACTATCATCAAAGGTACTTTGATAATGTGTTAAATTGGATTATTAATAGAATTCAGTCTGAATGACGAAGATGGAATACAAAAAACTGTGCGTAGACAAAGGCCATGGACATGGGAATATCACTAGTTTTGACCACTCAACCATCGAGTTAGAATTATTTCTCTATTTCTACTGTCTGTACTTCAGTGTTACTCGGTCTTCGAACCACAATTACTTTATATAGCATAACAGTATTTTATTAAATAGATAAACAATAGATAATCAAACAGATAAAAGTGCACATTATATTACGGCGCTCAATGCCACTGTACAATGTAACACCCACTTTTCACTATTTATGTCATGAGACCCATGTAATAGGGGGTGAGCTTATTACCATATACCGCGCACAATTCCAGTCTCCGTGCTACTATTAAGATTTTTTTAATAATACTTTGCGCGACCCGGGAATCGGACCCGAGACCCCTTGTCGGCAGTTGCACATACGACCACTCGGCCAACGAGCCAATCTGCTTTATTTTTACTTTTCATCAAAAAGATAATTTTGTTTTTTTTTTTTTCTTTTATTTTTCATCAAATTTGTATTCGGTCGTATCTTCTATTAAAGGTACATTGAATACCTGAATACACCAGGGCGGTGTTATCACTGGTGGCCAGGTGTGAGAGGTGCTGTGGTAGTGGGGCGGCAGGCACCGGCGTGCGGGCGCCGTTCACCACTGAGACCCGAGGCAGGGAGCCCATTGTTTACTGTAAATAAAGGAAGGAAGGTTAAAACAGTTTGCCTAGAAAACCAACATGAACAAGCCACCGCTGAACTATGTGCCTCAGTTCTACATAAGTAGATATAAGGATTTCCCTAAATCTGTACTCCTAGCAAAAAACGCTGGTGGTTTCGTCTCTTAGCTCCAAAGCGAATTATTTTTACGCAGTTAACTGATGAAAGACGTAATATATAGTATCATAACAAATAACTTCAAATAATCTAAACCCAAACCAATAACAACATACTAAAATAAATTGTTATTATAACATTACATAACATCACGCCTTTTTAATCCGAAAAGGTAGGCAGGTGCACATTGCGGTACTTAATACCACTGTACAATGTAACACCCACTTTTCACAATTCATGTTATGAGTCCCATGTAATAGGGGATGAGCCTATTGCCACAATTCCAAACTCCGTATTACTAATGGGATTTAAAAAAAAAACCAGTTATACTTTGCCCGACCCAGGAATCGAACCCTAGTCCCGTTACCCGGCAGTGGCACTTGCGACCACTCGGCCAAAGAGGCAGTACTAACTAAAATATATTATACCCATTAAATGGTTACCAGTGCCAAGATTACAGCTACAATAGACTTGACCAGTCTACACCTCATATACAACTCATCCTGAATAGGCCAGGTTAGTGTACGTTTATTGGATAATAGACCCAATTGACCTATTACTTGGTAGGAATGTAACTGTGATTTCATTGAAGGAAACGATATAAGTGTGGCGTACATTGGTCGCGGTAAAAATAGGTCAGACTGTTTTTATGGTCCCATCTAAGATACCAGGTTATTTAGGTTCATTGTGCATAGATGTGTGTCGTGGTGGCCCGGAGGTTTAAGACGCCTGCTTCTCATGCATGAGGGTGCGGGTTCGAAACCTACCAACGGCAAGTAACAATGTGGCTTTTTCTGAGTTATATGTACTTTCTAAGATTATTTAGACACCATTGACAAACGGTGAAGAAAAACATCGTAAGGAAACCTGGGCTTACAATTTCTAATTATAAGTCTGTAATCGCCAACCCTCATTGAGCAAGCGTGGTGATTAATGCTCTAACCTTCTCTGTGTGAGAAGAGGCTTTGCTCAGCAGTGGGCATTTATAGGCTGTTGATTATGCATAGATGAGGATGAAAAATGATTTAGACTCTCTTTTTTACTTGAAGGGACAATACCCACAAGTACTTTACACACGAAATTAAAAAAAATGCAAAATCTACCACACAAAAACGATGCCTAAAGCAACCAAAGTTGTTTCTTCAGTCAGTAAGAGTCTGACACTCCCTCCCGCCTCACCTAGGCCTAGCCTATATCAGTAGCCACTGCTGACCAAAGGCCTTTTCTTACATGGAGAAGATAATTAGAAATTATAAGCCCGTTTCCTCACGATATTTTTTTTATTTAATTTAATTACTTTGCCATTACAGAAAACTTAACCTAATTCGGCATAGTAAACCTATATTCTATATTCGGCATAGTTTTCTTAAACTATTAACTATTTCCTTCACCATGTGCAAGTATGTGACTGCAAGTAGGTACTAATGTGACTACTTCCGAGTTATATGCACTTTCTATGATGATCTATTACTATGATTATTTAGAAGCTACTGACAAACGACCAGTAAATTATAATGAACAAAATCATTATGTAAAAGTCAAAGCTCAAAGTGATTCGGTTTTTACACACATTTATGTTTTAAACCCAAAGGCCTTGTCTGGCTTAAGTTTTTCTGTTCAGCTGTATAATTATACAAAATGTACCTATGCTTAAGCAATCATTAAACCGCAATCGCTATTTATTACTTCATTTACAATTTACAACTTAATTGATGACTTCGTAAAGCATGTTTTAGCTCGACCCAAATTCAAGCATAACTGTCAATTTTTATTATTTTTTTGTTTAAGTTTAAGGCTTTGACTGCCGACAGAAAACTGTTGAAGGTAAATCCTCCGCTAGCGTGGCCCATACGTTGTCCCCCATGGCGTTCAAGGTGTTAAAGTAATCGAGACGAGACCGCGTTCGGCCATCTGATTGGTTGCGTTCATTAGAGCCGGTCAATCAGTTTGGCGAACGCGGTCTCGTATCGACGTTGTCCCAATCTAGCAAATTTTTCTTGTATGACTGCAAGTGGTGAATTCTCGTTCGACGTGGAGGACTATGGGGAAGGCCTTTTTTCACCTGTGGACGAGATCAAACTGGTGATGATGATGATTTTGTGGATTAAACGGAATAATTTCCAGTGGCGTGTACCTGTCCATCAGGTTGATGATGACGTACCATATAACCAGTAAAACATATTTAATTAAAACCCCCTACAGCGCATTTCTTAGGGGATAAACAGTAAAATAATCCTCTGCAATGACTTAGAATGTAAGTATTCCGTATCTATAAGGAAATAATAAACATGCAACCAATTACAAGATATTACTAATGTAATGATGTTACTTTACTCGATTCTTGCGTCATTTCATTAAGAACTACTTTATTTCTAGATTTTCTAGTATTTATTTATTATACCTAACATACGCGTCGAGCTATGCTAAACCAGTATAAACTGACCTTCGAATTTGCGGAAAGATGATACAAAGAGAGTTCATGATTAATTGGTTTGTATTGTTTTATGTTTAGTCGTGTGTAGTTGTAATGTTCACATTTATTTGCAAACTGTTCTTGCGTTTGTTTGTTTATTGCATACATGTGGCATTATTGCATTTAGTTGTGAATTTGCATACATGTGTCAGTTTTAATAGATACCTAGAACTTGAAAAAGGGGGTAAGTACACATCTATCGGACAAATAAGTTAATAGCTGAATTTTTCTTCCGGATGTCATAGTGGTTTATCCCTGGTTTACTATAATACAGTCTCATTAAATACTTATGTATACATAACTGCTGAAAGCAGCGTATTAATGATACGATATGAAGGTAAATATAGGTACATTTCTGCTGTTCCCTTCAAACGCCTTAGCACGAGACCACGTTCGGCGCTCTCATTGGTTGATTCATTGGAACCGGCCAATCGGAGCGTCGAACGCGGTCTCCGGAATAAACAAAGCGCGATTTTACGTAAAACGTTAATTATCTTACTCACCAATATTTAGTAACAAAATTAATCTCATGACGATTAAATAATGACTTGATTAATAATAAAAACTGAAATACTTGATGAATTCATTGAAACTATAAAAAGGTTTAATTGAGTATCGAACTAATTTATCTATTAAATACCTTAGTAAAACAAAACAATGCGGTCATAAATATTATTTTAAGATCATCAGCAATTTGATGATCTTGACTTCAATTCTGATGACCGCGAATATACTTTGATTGATCATTGTGTTGTAGATTTTTATCTTTTAGATGTTATCGTTACAGCCTGTATAAAATTATATAACAGCATAACGCTTTTTATCCCCGAAGGGATACGCAGAGGTGCCACCTTACGGCACGTAATGCCACTGTACAATGTAGCACCCACCTCCTATTTAATATTTTTTTTTCTAAATGCTTTTTTCGTGTGATATTACTTAGCTTGGATTTACATTGCAATGTAATTTATGAGTATGAAAACATTCAGATACATTGTAAATTACTAATTAACCTCTTGTCTGTCAATATATATAGGTAAGACACCAGAGAAAACATATTGTCTCTCGCGTCTCGCGCGTTCCTACACTTCACAGGTAAACTACATCATACTGCCTGATAGTGACCAATCAATCGGCATCGCCTATAGACACATGCAATACTAGAAGATAGAAGAGGTGCGTTACCAGCCATTTCGGGAAAGTATTTTGAATTATCGGGGGCTCTTCTATGTAACCTCATTGACACGGCGGAACACAACGCAAGCGTTATTTCACGCCGGTTTTTTCTGTAAGGCCGTGGTATCACTTCGGTCAAGTATTTTCGTGCCATAGCAAGACTCTCCCACGATTTAAAGTAATTCAATATAATGTCCCACAGACGTTCATCATCATCATCAATAACAGCCTATAGATGCCCACTGCTGAGCAAAGCCTCTTCTCACACGGAGAAGGTTTGAGCATTGATCACCACGCTTGCTCAATGCGGGTAGGCGATTACAAACTTATAATTAGAAATTATAAGCCCAGGTTTTCTCACGATGTTTTCCTTCACCGTTTGACAGTGGTGTCTAAATAATCTTAGAAAGTACATATAACTCGGAAAAAGTCACATTGGTACTTGCCGTTGGTAGGTTTTGAACCCTCATGCATGAGAAGCGGGCATCTTAAACCTCCGAGCCATCACGACATACAGAGGTTACATAGCAAATTGTTATAACACTACCAAGTACCATTACATGATACATTATTTGATAGCTAGACGCATAATAGCAAAAGTCCTTAGCCTGGAAAGAAGTAAAACAATTGTTTGAACCTGACCTACTTGGTTTAATAGTGGACTGTCGAAAATACGCGACCAACTGAACAACGACGAGCGTGGAGTAGGGTGACCGTGATATCTTTCTTTTTTTGTAAAATAATAGTGTCAAGTTTGCTTTTTTTATTGTCGCTTTTTTTTGTTGCTGGCTGTTTGTACTATTGTTGCTATGTTGTGGCTAGTGATTGTTAATTTGACTGCTGCGTGGAAGTATTCAGTTTCAATTGACAACATGTTTTGATAAATATTTTATTATTTCTGTTTAACTATGCTGTTTCAGTAACAATACACCCATAATTGTTTTCAGTATTGTATTCTCAGTTTTCTTACAATCGCCTTCTGTATCCTGATCGCAATCTTAGCTAAAATATAATCAAATTAATTCAGCAGATAATTTAGTACCACAAATTACTCAAACTCACATTTACATTAATAAAACATACCGAAAGTGAATTACAAACAAAAAAATTGTCTATCCTATTAAAAAAATAATAAACCTTCCCATATGTCTTTTTAAATAACACTTAATTTAAACCAAGCAAAGCCGCGCCTCTAATAAAGTACGT